GGTACTGGGTTTGAGTTCTATAGTGAATGTTAACTTTGGAATGCAGGTACATCCAGCTGAAGAGTCTCAAATAGGACAAAACGCGCATCAAACGAGATTCCACTGCTAGGCACTATCCATCTTTGCTTAAAAGGCTTGTGAGCTATGGTTATATCGACGGAATCTACACAGGATACATATGTTCCAACATAAGACTGATCAACTGTAGTCCTAAATAACAATGGGAAGATACAAGTAAAACAACACAAAGTGAATTTTTCACTTAGTAACATTTAAAATATGCTTAAACATTCAATATGTAATAGTTTAGGATAACTATAATAATGAAAATGAAGAAAACTTCTCATTATTATAACTTACTATTAATCTTAAGATGAAATTTTTAACATTACAACTGAATTATTAATAAGTATATTTCTTTCATTATCATAGTTTTTACAATCATTTATTCAAAGAAAAAAAATATTTTAATAGTTGAGATCATGAGTTCATTGAAGCTAGATCACCATGGAAAACCTAAAAGCACTGGCTAGCTATTTCGTCGAATTGTGAGATTTCTCAACAATGTGCATCCATGATCCTGTCTTACGACATTCGAACCCTATACCTATCGATCTCACGCATGAACACTTAACCTCTAAACCATTGAGCTAGTCGGCATCCAATAGTGTTAATGTTTAAATTCAATTGTCCCTCTTATATTTATAACAGTCTATAATTATAAAAGATATCTAAAGATATTTAAAGTTTTACATTATTGACTAATTTTACTTAGATAATCATTGAAAATTAAAAAATATAAGGCAACTGTTTTATTTTATTATTTAATACATTAGTTGCCTACATTGTAAATGATTTTAGTAAAAAAAAAAAATAAATAAAACAAAAAGAAATTTCCAAATGTTAATTCAATTGAAGAATAAAACAAAAGAAAATTTTTTTGAAAATAAAAATTACTTTTATTTAATTTAAATGAATTCAATTGAATAGTATTGTTATAATTTGTGGCCTGTATACTCTATTAATATATAACATAATGATACCTCCAATTAGAGAACAGTGAATTATCGATCGGACCAATGATGCATAAAACCAAGTACGAGAAATCTAGAGTACTTATCGGTTCTGATTCTTGTCTAGTCGTGCCTGTTAAGTCCAGAACACAAATTTTAGCCTCCGCGATATGAATCATGTATTTCAAGCATACTCGATTTATATACCAATCAAACAGACCATATCGTACCAATAAAATAGGAAACAACATTTGTACAAGATTTAGCCAAATGTGGCTGTGAATGTGGGAGGCATTGACTAATAGACAGGGCATAATTCGAGAATAGTAAATTGTATAATAATAATTCATAGGTCAAAATAAAGCTCATGATAAGAGGAACACGAATATGAATAGTTTAGCTACTTAACAATTATACGATAAAAGTATACGCATAATATTGATCCATAAATGGATCCCAAATGTTGCCCTTTATTATTCTCATCTGAATATAACAAATATAAAATGACACATACATACTCATATAAATTATAAGTTTATTTGATCTTTTTTTCAGCTGAAATTATTCTTATAAAACGTAACCAGCTAAGCAAATAGATGATATTGAGAGTTTAAAAATATAACTATTCATTTATGTATAATATAATGCTTATATAATTATGATTATCCATTTTAAGAGTTTCTATTTTCCGTTTATTAATATATATATATATATATATATATATATATATATATATATATATATATTATAATATTTAATCAGTTACTGTTAAAATATAGGCCCCTTGAAGTATATCTCTTTGATTTTGGACATAGTTACTGGTTAAATGTATTTTATAAAAAAAGTAACCCCTTGTGATAACTAAGATGTGTATTTTATCTTTTCTAGGAATCCTTGCAGGAATATCAACACTTCGTTCCAGTAATATATATATATATAACTGATTAGTTTCAAAGAGAACATAGGATGGAATATCTAAATTCCATCAGTAGTTACTGTGTAAAATTCAGTCGATATGATATTTTTCAGCCTGACAAAAATTATATATTTGTTATAAAATCATATTTTTCAATTGTCAATCAAACATAGATAAGTCGATAAATAAATATGCTGCTCTTGCAGCATATTTAAAACTGAAGAACATCTGAAACTCAAAACAGTTGGCAACCAACATTATGGTCAGAATTTTCAATACAAATATGAAGACAGTTCTACTGTATGCGACACAAACTTGGACAACAGTTGTCTACGTGAACTACTTCGGATCAATTGGCCGGACACTATTAGCAACAACCTAATATGGGAGGGAACAAACTAGATTCCAGCGGAGGGGGAAATGAGGGAGAAGCGCTGGAAGTGGATAGGATATACATTGAAGAAAGCACCCGACTGCGTCACAACGCAAGTCTTAACATGGAATCCTCAAGACCAAAGGGAGTGAAGAGGAAGACCAAAGAACACATTACGCTGAGAAATGGAGACAGACATGAGAAAAATGAACGACAATTGGATAGAACTGGAAAGAAATGTCCAGGACAGAGTGTGTTGGAGAATGGTGGTCGTTGGCCTATGCTGCATTAGGAGTAACAGGCGTATGTAACTAAGTACCTCACTTATGTATATCCATAGAACAAATTAAATCCACTGTTAACTAGAACTCAATTTAAAATATAATAATTGTGCATGCATCAATATAAATATGTTTTTAAATTAGAACTACGCCAGAAAACTTTATTTATTGACAGTGACTATTGTGATGTATGCTACTTATGCCGATAAATATAATTAGTATATAACATTAATCGAAGGTGAAATTCCTGATCACAGAAGGTAAAGAAGATCGAAGAGAAAAGAACAAGGACAGAACAATTAAGTCTGAGACATTTGATTGACATTTTGCAAATGAAGTTTTTACTGTATAGTTCTCAGAGTTTACTAATAGATTGTGTAATTTTGTTTTCGAATACATTTGATTGCCCTCACTTGTGTATACGTTCACTGAACTATTTCACATTATTAAACTCTAACTTATTGAAATGTGTGGTTGCATAAAACGTGACTAGACAAATACAACGAGACTATTTGTTTCACATTAGTACTATTAATAAAAGAAAGATTAAAATCTACTTGGTAGTCAGGTATACTGACTCTCATGGTCGATAACCATAAGCTGATAATGATTAAAGTTCAACTTAATCTGTTTATATCTTTGCATATGGAGATTGTTGAGTTCCTTCTAAATCACGAACTGATCAATGTTAAACCAACATTGAAAACCTCAAAGCAATAAGCTGCCGTTTTCTCCTGGTGTAGGACTTCTTATAAATGAGAATTAACATTCCTGCAGGTAGAAATCAAATCCAGAACATTTAGTTTCATGTAAGTACTCTTAAACTTTAAACCATTCAGCTGGCGTCCAACGGTATTAATTTCTAACTTTAATCACTCCGTAATATTGCACAGTCGTTTTTCCATACAAGAATGAAACGGCAGTCCAATGCTTTCAAGTTTTCAATGGTGCTCTGAAGTAGATGAGTTCATGATTTTTAGATAAGGATAGCATTTAGTACTAAACAAATATGTTCAAGCAGTCCTTTCATAATTATATCAATAAATGTTTTGACTGTTTGTTCAATGTTATAACTAATTTACTTCAAATAAAGTCTATAAATTACTTTTTAAATACAGAGATGGATAGTGGCCAGTTGTGGAATCCAGGACGCGCGAATTAGAGTGAACATCAACTCTGAGATGCCGGTACATCCAGCTGACAAGTCTTAAATAGGACGAAACATGCGTCAAACTGGATTCCACTTTCTAGCTACTATCCATTTTTGCTTATAAAACTTGTGATCTAAGGCAATATCGAGGCAGTTTGGAACAGGATGAACATATGCCAACATGAGAGTGATCAAATACAGTCCTAAATAACAATGGAAAGATACAAGTAAATAACACCAAATGAATCATAGATGAACACTTTTCAAGAATCCTATACTAATTTCATTTATTTATTTGAACACATAAATATTGGTACAAGGGGTACCACATACATATCCGCCACACAAATCTCATTTGATTTGTGTGAAGGCTGTGATACTAATCGGGTGCCCAAACCGAAACAGGTGATTTTCTTAGGGAGTCACACCCAGAGCCTTCGAAATAATGGTCTAATACACAAGGCAGTAGAGCAACGTAAGGAGATGCAGTTCCATGGTTGCCAGTGAGCAATAATTGGTTCATACACCATTTTTTCCCTTCAGATACTGGAGCACATGTGTACCATTGATTTGGAATCATGGTTTTCCAACTTCCCTACGTGGACTCGTCGTATCCACCAACACGGTTAAAGCATCGGATATTGGCTTTTCGTTCTCTTAATTTTGTAAACAACACCCGTGGTACGAGAAGGCAATGAGTAGGAATTCCCTGTCAGTGGTTGTATACATATGTCCATGTGAGAGCATTTGGCAAGAGAGAACTGACTTTCCGTAACAAAACATTTGGATGCAAAAAATGTATCCAATATTTCTTGATTTTAATAAATAGTTTAAATAAAGTTATTCACTCATGTAAACTATAGAAAAAAAAAACACATTCATTTTACTTCATATCAGATAAGAAGATATAATGAACTGATCATTGATATCTGATAATTTGTTTACATTTCTACAATCGATTCTAATTGAACTTCTGAACTATTTTAATTAAACAATGAAGACAATTATACACATTAGTTGATATATTTTACTCTTGTTTAATAATTCAACAGTTAATCTATTCAGTTCAAATAAGGATTATGTGTATATGTGTATATTTAAATAGACATTAATTCATTGTTATAATCAATATATATATATATATATATATATATATATATATATATATATATATATATATTGAAGAAAGATAATTGGGAACTTTTAATTATATATATATATATATATATATATATATATATATATATATATATATATTGTAACTTACCGTGCCATTATACGTATCCTGAAGTATTGGAAAAATTGAGGTAATTCACTTGAATTCATTTGATTTGTCCATGGAGATTTATGAAAATTTGAACTATATCATTTGACAAATAAATCAAGAAAGAATAATAATAAATAAGAATGTTTTTGAAAAGAGAAAAATGTAAAAAAAATCGAATAATGAATAAGATTTAGAGTTTTGTTGGATACTGTGATAGAAGTATGTTAACTGAGTGAAATGCTTCTATATAAACCGTAAATCCTGATAATGTTGTCTAGAGTGAAAGTACGATTCTGTAATTAAACTATCTTATACAGATAATATAATATTAGCCATAATATAATGTCAGTAATTTCATAAAGATGATTAATTTGTTTCAGAAGAGGTTTTGTGGAGATTGTAGTAATTTCAATAGTTGAGATCATGAGTCAATTGAAGCTGAAAAAATTTGAAACACTGGATAGCCATTTCATCCTATTGTGGGACTCTACGGCAGTGTGCATCTACGACCCCGTCTCGCGGGATTCTTGTTTACACATCAATTTCATAGGAATAACAACTTGATAAACAGGAATTAAATGAGCCTTTATAGTATATCTACATCATATGATAAGATACAGTCCATAGAATGATAACTGTTAATCTAAAATAAAATTCATTATGAGTTGCCTTTCGGTATATCAGGTAATGAATGATGAACTAAATTCTAGGTTTGAAGCTATTACGAGTTCACTTATTCTGCGAACGAGAACAAAGACTGGGTGACCAAAGACCAATAAGCTAGATAATCTGATGTGTCCCAACCCCGCTAATTAGAGGAAGAAGTCCAAGCTTGGAATGGGGAGGTATGTTCTGCAACCAGCCAGAAACAAGAGATCATAACAAACACAAATCAAAGTGTATATATATATATATATATATATATATATATATATATATGGCATAGAACCGTCCTTAGGGAGAGTTACCAAATAGCTTACTAAAAGACGCAACGGACCAATAGCATTTAAGATATTTCCCAAGTGAGAAATACGAGATGAAGGTGACAAGAGCACTTTTGGTGCGAAAACAAATAAATTCAAATTTTATAAATAAATTAGGTTGTTTTCCAACAGAGTTCTGAGTATCTAACGTCCCCAACACTAAAGAATATATATCATTGAAGTGAATAATATGAACTAAGTAAAGTATTACATTCAAAGATTTTTATGTATATTCAAAAAAAAAGATGTATCCATTCAAATTTTTTGAAAGTTTTATTCAACCAACATTTTTACAAATTATTCTTCGAATATTAAATAGAATTGATTGATGCTTTAACAATGTGATCTGATCGACATTTGTATTTTGTTCATTAGATGATTATTAATACCTATGCACTCATGAACCTGTCTGTTAGATGATTAATTAAACACTTTAACATCTAAATGTTATCTGAAACGTTATCTATGTCATATTATGATACAGATTCTTATTCGTTGATGAATATAATAAATTTGTTGATTATAACAACTCTTCACAATGATTTTGTATTACTGCTTTTTTTCTTATCATTTCTTCATGTTATATGAGGATTTCATCAACAACTTTAATGTCATAGAATAATGTTTGAAATCTATTAACAAATTATTTCAATAGAAATATGTAAATGTATTACATTAAGATAATGAAAACAATCGGTTTATTATCATAAACCTGAATGAAACAATTGATATACATATCGTATATCTCAATAATTGTCCACCTCTAGTATTAGTCTATGGGAAGAACTATAATCAAATTGATGTAATTACTTTAAACGGTATATCTTTAACCAAAACGTTCACATTGAATATATATTATGAAAAATCAATAAATTACTTGACGATAGAATAACAATTTAGCCAGAATAATGTGAATCCATTTGATTTTTTGTTTTTTGGTATCTTCTCAGCTGTTTACATTAGTATATACATATAATACCAATTATCATTGTCATTACATTTTTTTTTCAATCCATAATATCGTATTATATAACTTTATATTTCGTTTTGAGACAGATACTTTTGTAAGTAGCTAACCAAGAAATACTACAAACTTAAATGGATTCATGCTGCCAAATGCCCTGGTACGGCCGAGAGTGAGGAGAGACAGATCTCCCTCTCTAAATGCTCTCACATGGACATATGTATACAACCATTGACAAGGAAGTCCTATGCATTGCGTTCTAGCACCACAGGTGTTGTTTGCAAAATTAAGAGGACGAAAACAGAATATCCGATGCTTTAACTGGGTTGGTGAATACGGTGAGTTCACCTATGGGAGTTGGAAAATCATCATTCCAAACCAATGGTGCACATGGACTCCAGGATCTTGAAGGAACAAATGGTGTATGAACCAATCGTTTGTCACCGGTTATCATGCGAGTGCATCTCCTTACGTTGCTCCACTACCTTGTGTATCAGACCTTCAGGCCAAAGTTTCCGAGTGTGAATCCCTGAGAAAATCACGTGGTCCGGTTTGTGCATCTGGGCAGTATCATAGCCATCACACAAATCTCATTTGATTTGTGTGGAGGATATGTATGTGGTACCCCTTTGTACCAATATTTATGTGTTCAAATAAATAAGTAAATAAATAAAATAAATGGATTCAAATTATTCTGTCTAAATTATTGTTCTAGATTTATTCAAATTTACAAAGAGGTTTAACTATAAACAAAAAAAATTAATGTTAAACTTACTGTGCTGCAACAATTTCTGTAGCAAGACGTTTTATTATAATATGATTTGATGAATCTTGATTCATAGAATCATAATTATTAGTTGAACTTGATTCAACAATTAATTTAAGTGAAGGTGATTTTGGAAACCAAACTAAAAGTGTTGCACTAGCACTACGACCATCCATTTTTGCTACTAATGGTAATCCAGGTGAACCATCTAATTCTGCACCAGAGAATCCAAGTTTTGAACAAATATCTTGTGCAAAATGTATTACAGCATCATCACCAGTATGACATGTTGCTTTATTAGTTATATCAATTAATTTTAAATCATGTGTTAATCCATATACCCATACAGGATAAGTAGTTGGTTGTCCAGTTAAAACTGCAAGATTTACCAATGCCGATGTCTGGTTAATATAATTATGTTTTTTCCCAAAAAAAACAATACAGATGTATATTTGAAGACTAGTTTATTATAAAATAATATGAAATATTCAAAAAAAATTTCATATACATGGTTCCCTGTATTATTTTAAAGATAGCAAGAACGAAGATTGATGCAGAATAACATGAATTCAGTTTATTTCGTACTACCGACACACTTAAAGAAGTATTAATGGAGGTGAAAAGGTGTATGAAGAATAATGGAGACCTACAGAAATTTAGTAAGAACCTTCATTGACAAGAACTTATCCTGCAGTTAAACTGATTGTCCTATCCAAAACAATATGTTCTTTGACATAATCAAAGGTCGACTGGTATTCCTTTCATGCTACCACCAATTGTGTATATAAATTTACAGATTAATGGTAATAAAAAAAGATATGAATTGAAATCAGTCAATTACGAATTGAAGAAAAATCATAATGATGTAATTCAAATTTGAGAAAGAGTTGAAATAATGAATGACGTAATAAATAAAAAGGTTTAATGTTACCAGGGCAAAGAAAGATTTATTACTGTCTCCTTTCGGATACACAGATCTGGTTTTAGACATTTGAATGCAATCGCTTCGGCAAATTTCAAAAGGTTGAAGTTTGATTGTTTGTTAATTAACTTGAAGGACTTCAGTGTATTGACTCCATGCCCTGTATCAAGAAGATGTCTTGTGATGGCACTGCTGAATGTTTTTAATCCATTAGTTCTTAAACTCTTCGAAATATGTTCTTTGAATCGGACGTTGGTTCTACTTTCAGTTCTACTAATGTAACTGCTTCAGCAGATACATGTAAATTCGTATACACAGTTGGTGGTAACATGAAAGGGATACCAGTCGACCTTTGATTATGTCGAAGAACATATTGTTTTGGATAGGACACGATAAGTTCTTGTCAATGAAGGTTTTAGTCTTATGTTGATTGATACTGTCACATCATTACTTTTGAATTAAAGTTGAATAAAAATAGGTTTTTTGTTTACTGTAGTTTTTTTGGGTTTTGTATGTCTACGTTTCCCATATTTCTTACTAAATTTCTGTGGGTCTCCATTATTCTTCAAACACCTTTTCACTTCCATTAATTCATCTTTAAGTGTGTAGGCAGTACATATTCTGTTAGTTTTGTTAAATAGTGTTTAATTCAATGCTTTTTTGTAACTGAGTCGACAAACGTTATTTAAATTGAGATAAACGCGATTCCATGTGTCTGTTCTATAAACTAAACGTCGGACCGTGCCGCTCCCCCCTTCGTTGTATAGAGATGTCGATAAAATGGAACATGTGTTTACTTTGATGTTCCACAATTAACCGGATATTTTATAAGGCTTTGTTGAGAAGTTTCAGCAGATTTGTTGAATGTTGTTAATTATTACATTAGATGAAGGTGACATCAACATACCTTGAATAATACATCATTTCACCAATCACTCATTTGGGCTTAGTTCATTCAAGAATGGCCATCAAAAATATTTACTGGGACAGGACATAACGGACTTCCCATTGATACTTCATATGTTTGTCGATATACGACATTATTGGACTGTAAATGAACATCTTATGACTTACAGTCGTTTGACTTGTGATGCTGGTAGAGGTACGATGTCAAAATGCCGGAAAACTATAACTATGGTTTCAGGAAGTGGAAGTGCAATTATCAACCATATTCTTCTTCAGGAGATCCCTGAGTACATTGGTGATTCTTTTCTCAATTAAATAAGTTAATTCTTTGTTACTTTTGTCTAACTTGAATCTCGTACAGTCGCTTAAAATGGATTTCATCTTAGAGACATAATCTGTTGTGTTCATTAGAACGACACCTGAACCTTTATCTAACTATAATATCATTACATCATCATTTCACTTAAGATTACATAAGTACATAATTTCTTAACCTAACAAAATAAAATGAATTGATGTTATTCTGCACTAATCTTTGTTTTTGCTCTCTTTAAGATAAGAAAAGAAAACTATGTGTATGAATTACTGTTTACTTATTATTTGTAAAAATCTTCTAAAAAGGATCTTGTTAACAATGAATACCAAAGGCTTGAGACTTAGCCTGTTTACAATTTTACAGACTTTGAATTGTAAACTACAGTGGTTAAACTATAATTGGGTAACCATCTATGATGATCTTATATTTGGACCTAGAAGCCTGTCTGATATGATTTAACTAACTGAATTAATATAAACAAATATTTATAATACTACCAAAGTCAATAAACTAGTGTATTGTTTTTCAGTGTCATAGTCAAAGACAATACCAAAGATGTTCTATCAATCCTGAAAGTAGTAAAGAAACTGAATGATCGAATATGAAAAATTTTTTATAAATAGGAAAATTAGACTGATGATTAAACAAACATTTTCCATTTCTTAT